CTGTGTGAGCTTTAATAAAACATGATATTCCTCCTCTTACGTAGAGATATAATGTTCCACCACATAGCAGTTTCCTCAGGCGAAGAAAATACCATGAGAAGACTCAATAACACTAAAAACATAAAAGGAATAACATAATAATATAACAGAGATGAGTACTTACTGGTAAAAGGAGGCAGATGCTTTAAAGAAAGTAAGAACTCCTCAAACAGGTGAGCTGATCCGTCACTCCTCAGTCGTGTCTCTGCAGATCTGGCTGTGACGAAGAGATGCTTGAACATTCATCAACATTTCCTAAAGGCAATTCAATATGTTTGAATAGTTGATTGTGCATCAACCCGAAAGCAGACTTTGTTCTCAACAATCTCCTATAAGATAAGATAAGACATGTATTCATTCGAGAAAGGGGATATTAAGTTGTTCCAAAAGCTCAAAGGTGAAGGCAGCAAAGGATCATAGGGATACATAACAGTATTTATAAAATAAAAAAGTATATTATATTATAAACTATCCTGTTGTAAGTGGTGGTGATAAACAGCAGGCAGGAAAACTATTTCACGTATTTAAGTTTCATTTAGTATTTAGTATTTTATAGTTTTATTTGTAATGGACTTTGGTATCATTATTAAATTAATAACAGCCGTTGCTATGGCTACGTTTTATAATTGTACTATCTCTGTAGACCCCCGTGTTAACATGACCAACTCAACAGCAGAAATAAACTGAAACACTTTTTTCTAAAATACTTGCTATCATACATTTTTTCCCCACATCCAAATGAATGATGCAAATGGCCTGTGTATGCAAAATGCAGATAATATTGTGCCGTGTATAAAGTACAATTGCTTCTTGTTAAAAAGTGTCATCTTATCTTATACCTCATTAAAGGAGGAACTTTTTAGTATGCATCAAATGTAAGGAGTTATATCCTTAAAAAGTGCTTTGCCTTTCGTTAACCGGCTCTACTCACAAAACCCGTGGATAATTCGGCTCCTGAGCTTCCTGAACAATAACACATATAAAATAATAATAATACAAACCAGGGAAAGCTCTGCGTTGTGTTTTTTTATGGTTTTATTGAGAGCCCCATAGCGGAAGAAATTACAGATTGAACAATTAAATAAAAGTACATATGTAAAAATGTATTGCAAGTAAATTAAATGTAGGTAAAAATATTTCAGTCAGGAGAGACTTCATTTTGTACGAGAACATTTATTGACACATGTCACGTGATAAATGTTAAGTCTTTGGCGATTAGACCCCGATCCTGAAATCGTATATATAAAGGGGAAATGCAGCCGTGAGCATAT